TGAGTTTATCGAGAAATAAATTTCACAAAAAAACAAAACATTTTATTTATCGTTTAGCTCGAAGTAAACTTTAATGAAATTTTAAGTGTTACATACTAAAATATTTGATATTGAAATTTTAAAAGTTCTGAAAACATAAAATGTTGGTTTTTTTTTAAATTATAATTAAATTATAATTTTTAAATTATAATTTTGAAATTATAATTAAATATCAAAATGGGCCAACCCAACGAAACGTTCCTAACACTCCACAAAAAATAAAGAAGTCCATAAATGAAATTAGAAAAATTAAGCGTATATTTTACAAGAGTAAACGTTTGCGCCTGCTTTTCGCCCGATTCTAGGACACCGTATAATCAATCAACTTCGATGAGTGCTTTCGGGTCGATGTAAACTTGCGCAAACAAATATTTCCAAACGTCGATCGGCTCTGCTACAAAACGAGATAACGCGAAAATGAATAGCGCACGATTCCGAGGGATTAATCGGACGCGGATTCAAGCGAGCGAGAGACAGCGAGAACGAGCGAGAGAGAGAGAGAGGGAGAGAGAGAAAGAGAGCGAAAGAGACACGCGTGAGCAGCGACTCGTGATATTGATACCTGCCAACGGCTTTTTCTGTTACTAGGGAGGCGTACGGTATTTGAGAGGGTGGGTCAGCCGGTAACTAAAGTCGTCAACCCTCACACCGGCACCGTGATTACCGTGTCGGCCGACGAGGATGAGGACGCTATTAGCTCCATACAGGAGTACGACTCCGCCGCGGAGGAGATCCACGCGCCTAGAAGCGTGTGCGCCGAGGAGGGTCCGGCCTCGCTCGGCGCGGCCGACCTCCCGGACGAGCCGGAGAGCCGGGCGTTGAATCGCGAGCTCACCGAGATCTGCGCGGAGATGCGCTCGGCAAGCGAGCCGGCGATCGACAGCGTGCCCGACGAGAGCATACGCGAGCTGCAGGAGCGTCGCGCCCTGTGCGCGGAGATGGCGGCCACGACGACGACGACGTCGATCGACTACGAGAAGGAGGAGGCGTTCCATGACGTGCCGACGAGTCTCAGCCTGTGCGCCGAGCCAGGTGAGATCCCGAGCAGCCCGATGACGCAGGCGAAGGAGACTGCGTTGTGGTGCAGCAAAGGGAGATTCGCCGTCGACCGGCGTGCCGAGGATTATTATCGCAGCGAGGCTCACGAGAGGCATCTCGCCAAGGCCAAGTACGTCGTCAGCTACGACGACGACAGCGTCACGTTAATGGAGAACAAGACGATGCGGGACGAGAGGAGTGTCGAGATACCGCAGCCGAACGTGGACGAGAAAGTCAGGAGACCTGTCGCGATAAGAGCGGTCGTCGACTCCGAGAGAACGTCGAGTTCCAGTATCGCGCAGAAACGCTCGATTGAACAGCGAACAACGCGCGCCGCGCCGGAGAAATACGTCGTCAAAGAGGACGAGGACAGCGTCATCATCGAAGACGCGCGATGCGTGGATTCGACGTTGAGCGTCGGCGCGAGGAAAGGGGAGAGTGGCAGTGAGCGCGCGAGAGAGACCAAGGTAGCGAGAGACAAATACGAGGCAGTGCCTCGTAAGAACGACGAATGGAAGAGCCGCGCTTCTCCGCGGGAGTCCACCGGCAAAGATCGAGCTACGCTCGAGGATAGAGAGATTAAACGCGCGAGGGAGGTATCTTCTGTCGACTTGTCCGAGACGACGGAATCGATTGCCGACGTGAAGAGAGGAAACCCTGTTAGAGCCACGTTGGACGTGGAACGCGCGAGATTGCTACCCGGTCGTAACAACGAGGACATTGAGAACGACGACGAGTTGCCGCCCTTGGATCCGCCGCCGCTGGACGACTTCAGTTCCATCGAGTATCACATGATAGAGCCGTGCAATCTCAGCAGAGACGCCGCTTCCACGTCGACCCAATCCGACGACGACATCGAGCACATTCACGCGTCTGAGGTGCTGCAGATGCGGGTGAAGGCAGCTGACGCGGCGGGTGGCGGCAGGTGTAGAGACGCGAGCTCGACCGTCGGCGCGATCCCGCAGTTCTCGTCTCCCGTGGCGCGACGGAAGAGCAGCAAGAGCACGATTTCGGACGACGATCTGGAGTACATACACAGCGTCGAGCTCGGTTTTGAATCCATGACTTCGGAGCGGGGCGATGCCGCGGCGGCGAAGCCCTTGACAAAGAGCAGTGACAATTATCCACGTAGAAGGCACAGCAGGCACACGTTGTCCTCCGACGACGATCTGGAACACGTTCAACTCTCGGAGGTCCGCGAGCTGGAACTCGACGCGGTAGCGAGATTGTCGCAGAGAGAATCTCTGCAAGAAACGACGTCGGCGGAGCAGCAGGGAGCAAAGTCCAGGTCCGGCAAGAAACGAAAGGATATTATGGTAATTGAGAAGGGCGAAGCAGGGGCCGCGGAGGTCACTGTGATATATAACCCGCTGGAGGAGGTCTGGCCGAGGTCGGAGGAGACCGATAAAGGCAGTTCCGAATATTTTAAGGACAAGTCGGAGGGACCGTGTCCGAGCCCCACGAGAAGGGCCAAAAGTCGTGGCCTAAAGCCGACGATTTTCTTATCGCCTTCCACGCTGCTACCTGCCAAGCGAGCATCTCAGACGACTACCGACAGCGACATCGTCGAGATTATCGACATCGACGCGATGCAGAAGGCTGACGTGGATGCCGACGCGACGCCGGAATGCAAGATTCTGCCTGTCGTAGCCGGGGCGCGTGCCCGAAAGTCCCGCAAGAGCAAGCGGTCGCAGCCGGACGGTCAGTCGCAGGAGAACAGCTCGACGGAGCTCAGCTCTCTCTCCGCCCTTCTGCCTTCGTTCCGTTCCTCCAAGGTAAAAATTGCGGAATTGCAGGAGGCCGTGCAGGAGGCTGTGCGAGAGGAGCCATTCTTAGCGGAACTCGACTCCATGGATCAGGAGCCGAAGGGTCAAGCTTCACCTCTGGCGGAGATATCTTGGAGCTCTATTGTTAAAAAGAGCATCTCCCCTTCCTCGGATTCGCAGGAAGTCCGTAAGGAGACGGATCTCGAGCCGTTGATAGAAGTGGAAGAGAAATCGGAAATTGGCGAAAACGTGAGGAAGCTAGAGGAAACGGAATTCTGCGGCAATTCTACGGCGTTTCTCAAACGTTTCTCTACAGGACGTATGACGCGCGAACGCGAAAGTACACGACGACGAGGAGCCTGCAGAACTAAGGAGGAGGAGGAAGAGGAAGAGGAGGAGCTCTTCTTCGGTGAGAAGGATAATGTCGATGTGACGAAGACGAAGACGACGACGGTGGAGGAGAGTATCCTTGTAGACCTTCACGCACCGATTGTAGACGAAGAGCCTCGCGCGGACAAGGATATCGCGCATGTCACGACCGCTATGGCGCGTGCCAAGATCTCTCGGGACAAGGGGGATAACAGAGCGACGGAGGGCAGTCCTCTCCTCGCCTCGGAAGTACGATCCACCGCCGATGAGATACGTCGAGGTAACGTCATGGCAGCCGAGAGGAGAGAATCGCAAAGAGAATCTTCTTTGCAGCTTCAGCCGGCGACGCAGCGACAGCGGCAGGCGGGCGGCGGCGACGGTGGCGGCGACAGTACCACCGGAGCGCCCGGCGATCCGGCTTCTTCCACGAAGATGTCACCGGAATCCGAGCACGGGTCGTCTACCGAGAAGCGGAACGAAGCGGAGCGCGAGGTGCCCGGCGGGCACTCGACCGCCACCAAGAAGGCGAGCAACAGATCTAAGAGGAAAAAGCGCAGATGAGTAGAGGATTGCTGCATGGACGTGCCTAGGGCCAGCCTTGCCCTTTACATACTCCTAATGCAAGTGACAGGAGTAGATTAGCGTTCATACATAAGGGAGTGAGAGATTACATCGAAGTCCGATTATGCGACCTTGAAGAGCTCTCTCGCGATCTCCGGCGTGCGTCTTGCTGTAAATGACGATAAGGCCCATCTTTCCTCCGTAATTATAATTTGCTGTCAATATTTTCAGGAATTCATTCCTGACGCAAAAATTAATAACATTCGAGATGATTGCGACGATCCGAAAAAAAAACTTGTAACAGAAATTGAAAGCGTGTCGCGCCATGTATGTGCGAAAACCTATTGTTATTCTATTTAAAAATCCCGTTTAGTGTGGCCCTATCTTCGTTTCGAGTCTTATCAATTAATAGTTGGTATCAATCGCTGAAGTATTACGCGCGAGCGGATTACTCTACGTTCGGGCGACATAGCGGGCAAGGTTGTGTTCTAGCGAATATTAGAACATTGTTAGATGCTTCAACGTTAGCTCTATTACCGGGGTGTAGAACTAACGAGGGAGCTCTCCTCCGAAACAGGATCGCGCGTTTCCGCGTCATCCTGAGATACACCCGTGTAGCAATTTCAATTTGACTGCCTTAGATCGTAAAAGAGGTGATAGAGCTTGAATTCTTGCGTGATGCAAAACAAATTGCGTGTATCTGTATATTGTTTGCCCAATTATCGGTAATGTTATTGTTTCGTGCAATTGACGAGCGCGCTCTCGGCCATTAGGTGTTCATTTGCAGGATTGACCCTCTAGCTGGCCCCCTGTTCTCAAGCGACGGCCACAAGCGTCCGTCGGTGTGCAATAGGCCATATTTCTTCGTTGTAGTACAAAAGTCATCTTCATCAGATTCTCATCCAGCTTTGGTTTACTGCCTACTCGGATTATGCTTCTCGTCGTGCGACGGCAGTATACAGAGGGAAATTATTATCAAATTGAAAGGATTTTCAATCACAATCACCTTATACAGTTTGGAACGACTACAATCAGAAAGTCTCTGATTGTTTATTTAACTGTACATATTGTCTTCGTGCACTTTTGTATAAAAATGCCCATTTCGTTTTCGAGGGGATTTATGAGAGGACTCTCTATATCATTGATCATTTATACGCGATACAAAAGTATTCCCTGACAAATTGTTGACGAAATAATATTAATAACAAAATGGTAGCAGTAGGGGAGGGACGATATAAGAGATCCGTTTGCGCTATGAATCTTTAAAACGATGTGTTCTACATGATTCCTCGAACGCGTTCATCTCTGCACAAACTACGCCTGTTCAAATGCAATTACTCTATTCACATTTAAAACACAGCTGGAAAGGGCATTCTGATTGAGCAACAAACTGCTCAATCAGAGCACAAACCTCCCAGAATTGGGAAGATTTAAGCAACGCAGTGCGAGCATCTTAAGTACGACGTTGATGATGTGAAAAATAGAAAAGTCTCAACACTTTTTTCGAAATAATGCAGATGCCAGACACTCCGATCGAATACCGAGACTCATCTTCGGTCTAAGTTTCATTTTCTCTGTCTCTTCTAAATTTCATCCCCTTGATTCTCTTTCTAGAGAAACTACATGCTGTCTACAAGAAAAACTCATTTTTGTTATTTTAATTAGTTGACTTTGTAAGATTGTTATGTTCTCTTGTTAATTTTTATATTGGTTTACGTTTTTTTTTTTTTTAAAGTTATTAGTTTATATAATTTATGTAACGTACGTTGTATTAATTACGGAAATGAAAGAAATCACGAAAAGTGATTTGTGACACAATTGTTAATACTGATTGAATTTATTACTAAAACAATCTATTATGCATTGTTTGATACAAACTATGCAGATTTAAAATTCACACCATTAACGTTAGTGCAATTTATTAGTATACTGATGTTCGTATATACAGTATAATCCGTGTTGTGTTGAAAAAATTAATATCTTGTAACAAACTTCATTATTCATCGAAATCGCTAAATCATTTTGTTATTAACGTCTCATTCCCGTTGTGTTTTGTAGCATCACCTGCAGTTTATCATCATACTTACAATTAGATTTATTGCAAATTTTAATTGAACAGATGATTATACGATATCCTCAATTATTTTAACATTTTCCTCTCTGAGTTTTAAAATTCTTTTATTATTATAAATATCTCGCACATATGATGTACGAAATATATTACAAATTAATTTTTTAAAATTTATGTAGAAAGGGAAGGGTGCACTTCTTCAAAAGAGAAAAAGATCAAAGTATTAAATTTTTTATTTAAAAATACTAGTTTATTCTCTCTACATTTTGAGCTAAAATAATTTTTTTTATAAGTATCTAAGAAAGAGATAGAATATGTAAATTCTTGCGCGCGAACTAGAGTAGACAGTGCGGTTACGATTGTTTCAAACAAAGATCTCCTAATTATACAGTTACTATTAAATTCTATTTAGGCGATTTTATCCTTAGTTGTACAAAACTTCATGCCAAAAATAAGAAATCAGTATTAAATAATTATGATTTTATCAATAGTAACGAGCAATTAAAGTTGCAAAAAGAATTTTTGCAAACTATAATTAAAATTTAGAAAGAACTATATATAGAAAAAAGCATGATCATTATATAGTCGTTTATATGAGAAAAAGTCAAAAGAATAAGAGAAAAGATGATCCGAATATATTGAGTGAAAGGAACATAAAAATAGGTAGTTTTGTCCTGTGATTTCACAATGCATCCTTCCCCTCAAAGTAAATTGTTTATAATTATTTAAATTTTAAGTTAAGTAAAACATGAAATATTCTGTTTTCTGACTGACGGCTTGCAACAATTTTAGAGTTAAAGATGAAATATTCAAATTTAAATTATGAAACGGATATAAATTCGATTTAGTATTCTCAAAAATTAAATCGAAAATTAAGGGAATGTTTTTAACGAACGTTCTTAATTTGCTAAGAAAAAGACACATTTACAGATTAAAATTTAATATATTTTTAAAGAAAATTGAAAAGTTTTTCAATATAAAATAAATAACACAAATAATGTATAAATAATAACAAAAGGATTAATTAGAACTTTTGATTAGAATTTGTTGTAAATATATTATGTATATTAAGTAATAAATAATCTGAATTATTACTTTAATATATATAGTATTTTTTTTACTTATAATTTACTTTTGTTACTTATAATTGTATATATGTACATATAGACAAAATTAACGTTTTCAGAGATATCTGAACTAACGAAAAATGTTCCCTTAATTTCTCTTAATTTTACCTCTCACGTACATCGCTTTTCGTTCTGCTTCATCTTCCTTCACGTAGCAGTTAATATTCATCCCTTTCTATAGTCCTTCTCTATCTCTTCTGGTTCTTTCGCATTTTCGAAACGTCGAACTGGCCTATGCAGGCGTGTGCTTAATGTGTAAAAATTTCAAAGTCCTTTTGAATGTTACACGCGAGAAAACAAGGACGAAAATAAGAAAAAGCATGTAAAACGTGTTCAACGTTGCCGATGGTGACGCATAAAAAAAGTGTGCATGCGCGCGTGTGTGTGTGTGTATGTGTGTGTGTGTGTGTAGATATAATTACATTTCTTGTATATCGTAATTAGCGGTAAAAGAAAAAGAGAAATAGATATCGTGTGCGAGAGTGTATCGAAAAAAAAAAGATAAATACTCAGTAAACTCAGTAGCTTCGTGACAGCGGTTTTCTGTCGTTGCAATCGCTGCACGAAAAAAAAACTCAAGTAGGAAAAATATATTGAGAGAGGCGAATCTTTTTATCGATTTAGAGATCAACCAGAAAATCTATTTTAGTCGAGAATGAGGAGTGTAAGTGGTGAACCACGCGAGGCTCTCACAAGTCTGATCAATTTGTCAGACTAATTATCAGCATTAGAGTAACGTAAGTTTCTTTCAAAGGAGAAACTGCCGATAGACTAGTTAACTGTGCTCCACTCTGCTGTAGCAAATATATATTATAAATATAGAGTGCAGGATAATTTACCAGGCTTGCTTGCGAATTAGATCATGAAGAAGAAAGGAGAAAGGAATATCTGATTGTGAGCCAAGGATAATTGGATCAGTGCCAGTCGTAGAGTATATATATTTGCTTGATGCAATGTTTACTAGTGAACAATTGTGCGAATGTACTGAGAGCACGTATCTCCGTGCATCCATGAGAAAAAAAAATGATGTTGCATTAACGGCATTAGCTGTTAACAGTTTAATTGAGAATAATCTTGTTAATTTAATGACAATGTTAATCTATTAAATCCCGGGTGAATTCTCGTGCTTTTTTGCATTTAAATTCTTGTACTTAAATTTGAATCAAAATCTTCAATTATTATAAATCGTTCAAATAAAATTATATTGATTTTTTTTACTCAAAAGGATAAAACTTATTAGTTAAACATTTTTCAGGAAAAAAGTAGAACTTACTTTTTTTATTTTCATTTTCAACTTTTATCTTTTTTTCCAAATATCTCACTTCATCATCGACTACATTTTCTAACGAATCATCTTGTAAGATGACTTAATAGATAACTGAAACGAATAACATTTGATTAAAACAAATGTATTTGCAATGTTCACTTTCCATGGTATAAGAATGTATCGAAAATTCAGGATCTTCTCATGCAATTTAGTTACATTTAAAAATTAAAAATGAAAGTATAGCATTGAATATT